TGATCTCCCAAGCTATGCTCCTCATATCTTTGTGTACCTCAATCAGATCCCCATTCCCTCAGCCTTCTCTGATCCGAGGAAAACAATGCCAGTCTATCTAGCCTCTCTTCAAAGCTAAATCGCTCCAGCCCAGACAACATCCTGGTTAGCCTCTTCTCTTCTCTCCCTCCCTCCCTCTCCAGTCAAGTCACATCCTTCCTATGGCAAGACAAACAGAGCAGCACACAGTCCTCCAGCTGCAGCCTAACTAACATTAGACACAAGTCCATCTTAACCTCCTTGCTCTTGTATTTGATGCCTTGACTAAGATAGGCAAGAATTTCACATACCTTTTAATCAGCTTATCTAACAGTCTATTGCCTTCAAGAATCAACAGACATTCACACAAGGTCTCTGATAGGATGTACATCCTAGAGTCCTACCATTCAAAGCATGTTTTGTTTTGTTAGTCCTCCCAAAATGCATTACAAACCTTCAGCATTAAATTCCATTTCAACTCATCTGAGCAGCCTGTCTAGATCATCCTGTGGTACAAGGTTACAGTCCCTACTATTTATCATGCCACCAATTTTCACTACAATCATACTTCCTGTATTCATATCAATTTGAATACTGTTTACAGTTTTGGTCTCCTTACTGAGGAAGGATGGTCTTGTTGTACAGGGAGTGGAGGGAAGTGAATATTTACCAGGCTGATTCCTGGGATAGCAGAATTAACATACAAGTAGAGGTTGAATTGGTTAGGATTATATTCGCTGGGAGTTGAGAATGAGAATGATCTTATAGAAACATATAAAATTCTTACAAGACTAGATGTTCTGGTGGCAGGAAAGTCCAGAACGAGGGGTCATAGTCTGAAGATACACAGTAAACTGTTTAGTACTGACATGAGTTATAAAAATAGGATAGACTGGGACTTTTTTCACAGAGCGTAGGAGGTTGACAGATGAATGGCAGGTCTCTTTTCCCTAGAGTGGCTAAATTCAAAACGAGGGAGCATATTTTAAAGGTGAGAAAAGAAAAATTTAAAAAGGACATTAGGGGCAACTTTTTTTTTAAAAAAAGCAGAATGTGGAATGAACTGCCAGAGGAAGTGGTGGATGCAGGTACAGTTACAACATTTAAACGACATTTGGATAAATACATAAATAGGAAAGGTTTGGAGGGGTATGGGTCAAATGAGGGGTCATCTAGAATTGAAAAGTTAGCTTGTTTTCCTTCATGGATGCTGCCTGACCTATTATGATCTCCAGCATTTGTTTTCAATATGTATTTGGTATCTGCAGTAATTTGCTCCTAGACTTCTGTAATACTGTGGTCAATATGTCATCGGTGCTTGTGGTATAACAGACTAGCACCAACTGATGCAAGTTAGCTGTAGTGTGTTACTGCCTGTCTCATTGTTATAGAATATACAAATTAATACCTGGGCCAGAAGGAGTTAAACAGTCACCACAATGGTGTGTGGACGGTAACCTAGGGTTTACAATGCCAGATGAGTCCTTAGTACAATCCCCAGGTGGTATGCCTCGGAGAACAATCACCAAAGCAATCTTGAAAGATACACTTCCATGGGATGAGGGCGCCGTTGGCTAGGCAGCATTTATTGCCCATCCTTAGATGGCAATTAAGAGTCAACCACATTGCTGTCACATGTAGGCCAAACCAGCCAAGGATGGCAGTTTCCTTCCCTAAAGGACATTAGTGAACCAGATTAGACACTTAGTTCCAGATATTTATTGAATTCAAATTCCACTATCTGCCGTGGCGGGATTTGAACTCGGGTCCCCAGAACATCGTCCGAGTCTCTGGATTAATCGTCCGGCAATAATACCATTAGGCCATCGCCTCCCCATTGCAGCTATTTCCATTATTTTCCAATAAGTAGTCTCAGGGAAGAAAACTGAGGTACGACCCAAGTGTCCTAATAAAAAAGGACACAAACTTCTGAAAGGAAAATATAATCACTGCAATCCTGAGGGGCTCATTTAGCAATTGCAAAAGAAACCTTTGATTCACTCAAAGCTACAAATAGACAACTATATTATTTAGGAAAAAATGTATATTCAGAAAAATTGAGCAGTTAAAAAATGAATGCCAGTTAATTCAGAAGTATTCTCTAATTTCACTTCTATGTGGAAAAGGATACCCTTGTTTCAACGTCAAGGTTCACTCCAAGGCTCCACATACCTCCTGTTTAGTTCTTTCGCGC